CTCACCTCTGAGTGTTGACGTCAATGTTCACTTTTATATATATATATATATATATATATATATATATATATATATATATATATATATATATATATATATATATGTATGTATGTATTACAAAGAATCTTTCATATATATAAAGTAAATTAGTAAAGTTAATGGTATAAAATGTCAAATTCACTTCGCCAACTAAATTTTAAAGATGCATTAACGCACTAATCACTGAGTGTTGACTTCAATGTTCACTTTTTATATATATATATATATATATATATATATATATATATATAGAGAGAGAGAGAGAGATAGATAGATAGATAGATAAATAAAAGACAGTTTTGTATTTTTTTATTTAGGTAACATATGGGAATTTACAAGGTTTTGGGGAATAAAGATTTTACGACTTTTATATTAATATAGCAATAACGTAGTGCTTTAGGTATCGTTTTTTTTTTTGCCCAATTTACTTTTTTTACCATATGCCACCCACCTTCTGCTTTCCAAGATGTTCCAACTCAAAACGTGCATCTTACTTATTATAAAACGCAGATTGTGCGTGTGTGTGTGTGTGTGTGTGTGTGTCTGTACGTTTATATATTGTATCGGATTTCCTACATTTTTCAACCGATTTCAGCAAAACTTCACAGGACGACGTAAAATTACCTTGCGGTGGTTCTGACAGCGCCAAAAATGGGAAAAACACAATTGTTTTTGCACGAAATTAATTTGAAAACACGATTAAGAGGCATTAATGAAATGGGGACAACTCTTATCGAGTTATACTTATTAATATCGAGTTATCGAGTTATACTTATAAAACTCGGGTTGGTTGGTTGTGTGTGTGTGTGTGTGTGTTCGTTTATATATGGGATCGGATTTCCTATATTTTTCAACCAATTTCAACAAAACTTCACTTTTTTTAGCAGGTAGTGTTTCTAATTGTCTTGCACACTTTTTTCTTTATTTTTTACATTCAGAATGGTTTAAAAATTCAATTTACAAGAGAATTGTTTATAATAAAATTCTATTCAATAACGATTGAAAACAATGTTTTTGTTTGAGTTTGGGTTTGACCAATTCGTAAAAAAAAAAACAAAAAAAAAGAACAAAACAAAAAAATTAAGACATGCGTGTCTGTCAACCTTAAACAATAATCTTTGTCAATTTTATTTTTCAGTCTTTATGATGGTCGATACTTGATCTATCTCTTACTGTTACATCCCCGGGCAACGCCGGGCTCTACTGCTAGTCCCTTAATAATATGCGTATATTATTGGAAATCTTTATTCTTTTCCATAATCGTACGTCTACATTGACATGGATTATTTTTATAGAAAAGTTTTGAAAATTTAATAGCTATAGAAAATGCTGATTGATTTTTAAACTTCATTACATTTACAGTAATTTGTTTTAATAATTATTAAATTCATAAACTGGTGTATACTTCAATAAACAAAAGTTCAATAGAATTCTCACCCTTTCTTGCCCCGTGCACCTTTTCACCATAAGTCATTCTGTTCCCTTTCCCAACATTGTCCAACTCAAAAGATGAATTCCAATTAATATGGATATATTACTGAAAATCTTTATTCTTCTCCATATTCGTATATATTGAATTATATGGATTATTATTATAGAAGAGTTTTGCAAATTTAATAGCAATAGAAAATGTTGATGGATTTTAAACTTAAATACATATACACTAATTTGTTTTAATTCACAACTATTTGTTAAATAAATAAACTGCGTATTCTTAAATAAACAAAAAGTCAATAGAATGCCAGGGTATTGTTGTTGTTACGGGAAATGATTTGTTTAAAGTTGCCGGCTGACCATCAAACGAAGATTTACTGTCCGTTGAAGTTGTTATTGTTGTAGCTGATTCATTTGAAGCCTCTGATATGTTTCTTTCAGGATGCACTGGAGGGTGGGGGGAAAGAAGAAGCTATGTCGGCTTTGAGACTGTCGCATCTCTGGTCTCTGAAAATCAAAATCTGTGTGTTTTGAGAAATGTTTTTTCCAAAAGTAGGCTTGAAAAAAAATAGTGTTTTAGTTTTCTCTGATTAGTCAAATATTTCACATGATAATGTTAATTTCCAACCAATCAACACTTTGGTTTAAACCAGTTGTTCTCAAACTTTTTTGCCCCGTGCACCTTTTCACCATAAGTCAGAATGTCATTCTGTCCCGCTTTTCCAACATTGTCCAACTCAAAAGATTAATTCCAATTAATATGCATATATTACTGAAAATCTTTATTCTTTTCCATATTAGTTGCATACACATTTACATGGTTTATTTTTATAGAGAAGTTTTGCAAATTTAATAAAAATAGAAAATGTTGATGGATTTATAAATTTAAATACATGCACAGTAATTTGTTTTAATTCATAACTAATTAGTACATACAGGGTGTCCCAAAAAATTGGCTTCATTCAAAATGTGAATATCTGAGTAACTACATGCCAGAGGCAAACGAAATTAAATAGGCTTCATGTAGAACAATAAAACATTTATTTATCAAAATTCGAAAAAGATATTCAAAGGGATGTAGATTTTATAACCGATTCACAAATCTTCACAAATGTTCAATATACACACCACCTGTGACATGACAAGTCGATAGTCTAGCTCCTGCCAAACACGTTGTAGTATGACTTGCGTAACATTCTCCACTACATCAGTGGTTCTCTGCTTAAGTTCCTCCAGGATTTGTAGAAAGATGGGGTATAGAGATCCGTCTTTTCACATAGCTCCATAGAAAAAATCTGAATGTGACAAGTGAGATTAACGTGGTGACCATTTCAATAGAATAATGTCATTACTCAGTCTATCTTCGTGATAGATTTACAGCGAGATCAATCCGCAAGGTTGTCAACTAATTTTTCACACATTTGGTTAAAATTTTAGATCATTTCATCGAGAATTAGCTATTTTATTAGATTATAAAATGATGTCAATTTGATGGGTGGGTTTTTTGTAAATAAACTGAAACATACTTCAATAAACAAAGAGTTCAACAGAAAGTTAGGTTATTGTAATTCAATAAACAAAACCCTGTAAATAAAATAAAAAAAAATCAAGAAAAAGTAAAAGTTTTCCCCTTGAAACCATGAAATTCCCCTTGAGGGGAAATTCGCCTCTGGTTGTGAACCTCATGTTCTAGTAAACGTTACATTAACTGAATTTGGCTAGTATTTCCTCGAAATAGTCGACTTTTGAATACACAATCCCACAAGATTCTATTTACCCTTTTAAGAGATACACATTGAGGCGTTCAGGTTTCCTCGAAAGCCCATATCTGCTTGATTTTCTATCCGAAACCTAAAGAAACATATTCTAAAGCATCAATGAATTTATTTTTTAATCCGACATTTTTTATTTGCACTATTTACATTGTTCAGACTGTTGTCCTCATCTTTATTGTCATATTCAAAACGTTTCGGCCATATTACGCTCCGGCCTTCTTCAGGTGATATACGTTAGAATTTCGAAATGAACCCTTTAATTAGTCCACCGGGGTAGATTGTTCTAGTTCCACATTGTTGTGGAGTGATTTCCCAGTGGAGGCTTGTAGTTGTACTAAGTCGGTCCTAAAATAGGTTCGACGTACAAAACGTTTCGAACTTGATATAATAGGTATTACGCAGAGTAATCTTGTTGTGGTTGCTGATACTTTAGTATCCGATTAACTGTAGTCCGACACCGACTCACTCACTGACTGACTCGTTACTCTTACTACTCCTACTTATTATAGGTGGGAGAGTCCATTAACTATAGAATAGGTGTGTTCCACTATAACACCATGCCATACCATTTCTAGATATCTCAGTTTCAGTTAATTCCCTTTAGTAACTCAACTCCCCAAGTTTTCGTTCACCTGTGCTGTGGCCAGGTATTGTAGTTAATAAAAGGAAAATAACTGAAACTGGGATATCTGGAAAAGGCATGGCACGTAGAACTAGAACAATTTACACCAGTGAACTAAATAAGAGTTTCGGTTCGAAATTCCAACGTATATTACTTGAAGAAGATCAGAGCGTACAACGGCCGTAACGTCGTGAATATGGCAATACACAACAGTCCGAACAATGTAAATAGTGTCAATATTTACAATACCTCATCTTCGAAATATAGAGAATTTTATATTACTTCAAACGTCATTTATATTGGATACTCGTGTTTGAAATAGATGTTCCGTTTTGTTTTTTTGCTTTGTTTTTTGATTTGTTTTTTTGTTTTTAAACATCGTGTATCAGCTCACGTAAATTTAACAAAGAAAGTCTGCTTTCCGGTAGGGATCGAACTTACTGTCCACCTTGTAGGAGAATCCACCGTCAATTCTAGGCGTCGCAGCTTACGTTTCGAATACAAAATCGAACAGATGTGGACTTTTGAGAAAATCTGAACGAGATATGTGCATTCTTTAAGAGGGTGAATAGAATCTTGCTGGACTGTGACGAGTGATTGACCGAGTGGCTTTCCCAACATTTGAACCCGTGTTTGAAACGCAAGTGGGGAGAGAAAGCCTCCGGCAAGGAACAGATACTACAACCACAGCATCGACTCTGACAGGGAAAACAAAAAACCTCCTCCTACTCTTCCCCTTCCGGTAGAAGAAAACTTAGATCTAATCATACCTTTCTTAATGGTGTGTTGAAAATTCATGTAATAGACTAGGCTGGAACTTGAACTGGACGAATCTACTTTCTGCGTTGCAAAATGTTGCACCACTTGCATATTCAATAGTAAACGCAAATGGCTTACCTAATTTAATTTGTTAAAGCATCCAGAACCCACAATTTGCCAATATGATTCTCGTTTTGGCTGAACAGAATATCGGCATTTGATTACGTATTTAAAATAAGGTAAAATATTTTATTTCTTGACTTTTCTTTTGTCGGCTGAAATTATGTTGAAGGTGGATAACATATAACATGATAACGGAACGATAAAATTGGGTCTAAAAATGGAATAAAAGTCAGAGATAAAAACTTCACAATCTGAAGGAAGGAAGAAAAGAAAATGGCGTCTCTAAGCAAAATGACTGATGGCTGCAAATTAGGCACATATTCAAGAAAAGAAACTTTACAATGACAAAGCAGCATTCGTTATCCCGATTTCATGTTACTTATTTTTATGGTCGAAGAGTGTGTCGATTTGCATTTTTGAGATAGATATAAAGAGATAGAGAGAAAAAGAATAACCGTAAATTGAGCTTCAAAAATCCTTCCTGCGTTAATATTTTGAACTTAACTTATCTATTGCCTTGCAACGATGATAGAAAAGCAAACTTGGTTCCCGCGACGTAGACAATTGTGAATTGGGCGCTAACTCGACGCCCTCGATAGGCTGATTGACAAAAGAATATAAAGTCTGTCTATATTTCTGAGATGAGATATTGTAACTAAATATACATCGTTCGGACTGTAGACCCCATCTTTATTGGCATATTCACTACGTATCAGCCGTTGTACGCTCCGGCCTTCTTCAGCTGATATACGTTGGAATTTCGAACCCAACCATTCATTTATTTAGTTCACCAGGTAGATTTTTCCTGATCAGACTGGCATTTATTAAATCAATAATGTGCTTCAGTGGATTGATTCAATATCCAACAGTAACGACGGTATAAAAAGAAAATGGCGTCCCTACAGAATTAAGCATTTGGATGCGCACGCGCATGTCTCTTTGAGAGTATCACGTGACAAGTTTTAAAACATAATTATTGCAATCATGCTACTGCCATAAATCGACTCCTTTGATCAGCACAACGAGAATAATGTTCAATTCATTGACCATTTTATGTATCTTTGTGTATTTCAGCAGTTATATATCCTTTATCTTTTATCAAACTGTCATTTTTATTTCCACCCCTGTCACCCCCGCCAGTTGGATTGGCCGCTTGACTAATATGCGGGGGCGAAACACTAAATGTAATGCTTTATTGCTTCGACTTTCACGTCAGCCGGGAAATTTTCACATTCATCTTCCTTTTTTTTTTCTTTTAAGGTAATATCTTATCAGGAAGTTGGTAATCAGGGCTCTCCACAGCTTTCTTTTTTATCTGAAAATCTTTTTGCATATCTATCGTCTATAGAGTTTTGAATTCCTTCTCTTAGACTGTTTGCCATCCAAGGCTAGAAATCTCTGTCTAATTTGATCTTTAACCAATAACTTAAGCAGTGCTAATAGATGGATTCATGCACTGAGAGCATTTGTGCGGAAACGAATGCGATTGGTAAGTCGGGTATTTGAAATCTTCAATCGCTAACTGATAGTAATGGTAATATTAGTCGATGCCTTATAAGGAAACATTCGACAATCATTCACCGAACAGTCAATGCTACTCGGCCAGCGGGTTAGGATCAAAGTGTAATATCTGTTCTCCTCATCACTAATAGCAATTGTAATATTAACCGTTTCCGGCATTTATTGACCGAGCCACCAATGCTACTGTCGTTTGAAATTTATAAAACCTTTTCAGGAAAATAATTTTTTCAAATCCTATTACTGTTATCACTCTTTTCAATATTAATAGGGGCTTCCCTCCTAACCTTTTGGTTTGTTTCATTTGTTCTGTTTTACGGTATATCAACACCACAATGGGTTATTTAATGCCGACAAAATTTTTATTGCAGGCATTTTTTTCAAAAATGTATTGCTGGTAATTTCTTTTTACAAAAAATGTATTAAAACTTATTTTTACACATTCATAATATTTTGACCCCAGTTTGAGTGTTATATTTGTCCATATCTGGGACCCTAACAGATGCTGCCACCTTGGGTCAGGGTGGAGCTGGAAACATCAGCAATTAAGAGGTGGTTCTACACTCTTCAAAATCTCTTGATCAGAGGAATTGCTGCCGGATGTACTTTATCGTCATACCCAGGACGCCTCTTTGAGGGAGGAGGGTCTGCCTGAGATGCAGTCGAAGTATTCTGAAGCCCCAGCCGGCAGGGCCAGACTAACCTTTTGAGGTAATGAGGAACGAAAAAATGTTGCTGTTATTATTTTCTCTTTGATTTACACGTGTTATCTATTTTAATTGTTGTTATCGTTGGTGTTATTGAGAATCCTCAATTATTGTGGGGTCTGCTATTTCTTTGTTTGTATTTCTGTTGCGCCAATCTATAACGTTCGAAGAAGTATAGTTCTCTTTAAGATCTACAGGTTTCATTCACATAAAGCCATTTTAATCATTGAGCTGAGAAAGGTGTTGCGAAGAATTGAGATATTTCCGAATGAGTTTGAAGCCATGCATGACGTCAATATGAAAGTCTCGATCTGTCCGACACTATTTCGATATCACGAGATTTTAGATTAATGATTTTCTTTTCTAATAATTTACGATGCCGGCCGCTTTCCAAGGCATGCGCCAATAGACGATATCATCAGAAGAGGTCTAGATGCAGCTAGGTTCCCCTACCAAATCGAACTGGTAGGCCTTGACCGGGGTGATGGAAATCGACCGGATGGGATTACCATTTTTCCTTTTAAAGATGTGGGGAGTCGTTGATTTGGGATGTGATCTGTGCTGATACATTTTCGACCAGTAATTTGATCTGGTCCTCGGTTGAGACGGGGGTCTGTCGCTTGGGACGTGGAGATTAAAAATAAATAGTTAAATATTCTTCTCTTGCCGACAGATATTTTTTACTCCTGCGGTAGTGGAGACTTCTGGGGTAATTGGCCCTCGTTCAATGGGTTGATTGGATGGCATTTCGATTAAGGTTCAAGCCTAGCAAAACGGAGTGACATTTGCATCGTGTCTCACTGGCGATGGTGCAAAGTAATGCTTTCTCGATCACTGCAGCTGGCAGAGGATAGCAAAAAAAATTTTTTTTTTGTTTAGATACTATGTTCAAATAAATATTTTTTTATGAATTACGTTTCCTAACAAATAACTGTGAAACCATATTTTCAAAAAAAAATCTGGCCATCATTGAATCTAGGTACCTCCATTTTAATAATATCTAAATGGGCCGTCATGGGCTCAAAATTTACCCATCTTGGGCTCAAATTACGTGAGCGTCACAGATGCGGATGGGGAGCTTCCATTGATGAGTTTGGTTTGCATCCTCTCTCCTGTCATCGTAGTGCCGGCCGCTTTCCAAAGCATGCAGCAATAAACGACATCATCAGAAGAGGTCTGCATACAGCTGCGTTCCCCTTCCAAATCGATCCGGTAGGCCTCGACCGTGGTGATGGAAAGCGGCCGGATGGGATAACCATTTTACCTTTTAAATTGGGGAAGTCGTTGATTTGGGATGCGATCTGTGCCGATGCATGTTCGACCAGTAATTTGGTCAGGTCCACGGTTGAACCGGGGTCTGTCGCTTGGGACGCGGAGATTAAAAACAAATTATTTAAATATTCTTCTCTTGCGGACAGATTTATTTTTAATCCAGTGGCATTGGAGACTTCTGGGATTATTGGACCTTGTTCGATGCCGTTCCTTCGGAGGGGTTGGCGGGATTGCGTCTCGATTACTGAACGAGCCTCGCGAAACGGAGTGGCTCTTGCAGCGTGTCTCACTGGCGATGATCTGAGGTACTGCTTTCTTCATCATTGCAGCTGGCAGAGGATAGCAAAAAATTATTTACGGATAATTTGCTCTGTTGGGTGACACTACCCTAGTGGAGCAAATTTTATGTTCAGTTTCCGTATCGTCTCTACTAATAAATGATTCATAGATCTAAAATCGTAAAGAAAAATCGTCAGAGTATTTTACTTTGCATTCACATTGTTCGGACTGTTATTGCCATGTTCACGACGTTTCGGTAGTTGTACGCTCCGTCCTTCTTCAAGTGATTGGAATTTCGTAGTGAACCCTTTATCTCGTCCACCTGGATAGATTGTTTTAGTTACACGTACAATGCCTCTTCCGCATGTCTTTGTGTCCTTGAGGACACATAAGCAGTTAATAAATGTCATGAACATGAAAATTAAGATGAGGACAACAGTCCGAACAATGTAAATAATGTAAATATGTACAGTTGTAGCATAGCTACGGACGATAATGGGTTATGTCCCCATTCACATAAATACAGTAGTAGATACTGTATGTTGGTCTGCAGTTGGAGATTCGTCTCTAGCTGTGCTGGTCAAACTCTCTGGTTCCGGGCAGAGACGATCCTCAGACGAGGCTATGTCGAAGAGCAGCCTCTCGTTTCGGGAAACAGCTACCCGAACCCGTTTTATACGGGGTCTAGGAAAATTTTTGGTCGAACCCACGGGCTCGGATATCCCACACTAAATTCGGTCTTGTGCCACATCTAACAGCGTGGGCGGTTTGTAGATATTCTGCAGTTAGAAATTCGTCTCCAGATGTACTGGTCAAACTCTTTGCCGCCATGCAAAGAGGATCCCAAGACGAGGTTATGTCGCGTTGGGTGGTTGGTAAATATCCTGCAGTTGGAGATTCATTGTGGAATTCACTTAATTCACTTCTAGCAGTTGCCTATTACTTCTACGCGCCGCTGGCGAATCTTATATGTGTTGTTCGTGTCCTAAATATTATCGTTCATTACCAACCTTCGTGTGATTATTATATTCAGTAACCTTCCTCTAGGTTACAACAATTACAATACCTCATCTCAGAAATATAGACAGATTTTACTTGGCAGGTACTACTGTTGGATTTTTTTCTTCTTCCGTAATGAATATGCACAGAACTAGGCTAGTCATATGACCCTTAAAAACGTGTTAGTGAAAACAGTCTGTGTAGAGAATATTTTGGGGGTAGGGGCCGCGAAGAGAAAATGCCTGCTATGTGGGTACACACAATCTCTTGCAACATGACGTACCGGACGTGTGAGTAAAAGCAGCTTTTGCAGTATCTCCTAGCTTTTCTATTCAGAGTCAGAGAGAAGGCATGTAACGTATTTAGTTAGTATGTTCTCTTTCTAGAAATAAAATCATTATTTTTCGCACTTCCGACTTCTCTCTGGCCTTCTTGACTTTTCATTATAGATACATCAGAAAATATCTGAACAGACAACAGTTACAACTAAGGCCAGACAAATATTCTCGCGAAAATCTATCTTGCATACTTACAGTGCTGTTCGATAAAAGTGATTCAGCTGATTTTTTTTTTTTTTTACTAAATGTTCTCTTCTCCGATGAAACGAAAGTTGAGCTAAATTCAAAGGATAAGCGATCTAAAATCCGAAGATGAAGCTTTGAAAGCTCTTTGAATTTAGCAGTAAGTACTGTCAAGCATCCGTTCAGTATAATGTTCTGGGGATACTTTTCTTTTCATGGAACTGGTTTCTTAAAACCTATTGAAAAGACCCTCAGGAGCTAGCAGTACAAGAGAATTTTAGAGTTTTGTCTGCTCCCTTCTGCTGAAAGGGTGCAAATCGACCCCACCAAGCTCATTTTTATGCAGGATAATGCTCCCTGTCACAAATCAAAATTGATGAAGGAATACTTTGATGAGAAGCAGGTGAGTGTTATGACCTGGCCGCCCCAATCTCCTGACCTCAACCCCATAGAAAACTTATGGAGCATTATAAAGTACAGACTCTGGAGAAAGCAGTTGAGCAACAAAGAGGATTTGATTGTAAATTTCATATCCGAAAGGAATTCAATGCTTGGAGATGAGATTTGCCAGAACCTAATCAAGTCAATGCTAAAAAGGGTTGAAAAGGTTATTCAAAATAAAGGAGGACCCATAAATTATTAAATATTTCGAACTATATTACCTATTATAAATAAATTATACCTCTATTATTCTTTATTTAAAACTGTTCGGTTATGTTTCTATTGATTACAAGTTGCAGGAAATAAGTGATTTCCCTAAATCTCATTTATATCCAAAATTATAATTATCAATAGAATATCTTAGGGTGAGTAAACATTTTTACTAGGTGGTAGGGAAGGGGTCATTATATTAGTAAGATTAAAAATTAGTTTTACCCCAAAAAAATAGGCGAAAATTTTTTTAAGTAAAAAAAATCAGGTGAATCACTTTTATCGAGCAGCACTGTATAAGTTTACCATTCGTCATATCTGGTTTGGTGTTTTTACTGTGTATTTTGTGATTCTTGATAAAATGCAAGGAAAAATCTGCAATATTATTGGCTCTGACATCGTATCTCGGCTTCAGTTCCTTAAGTACCGACGTAGCGTACCTTCACTGTGTTTTTTCTGTACATATTTTCATGGTAATTTTTCTGGTCAGCTTTCCTCTTTGGAACGTCGAATGAAAGCGCGCAGTACTAAATTGGCTGCTAGGTCTTATCATGTTACAGTTAAAATTGATAGATGTAAACAACAAGTCTACCGGGCCTGCGTCCTCAGCACCCTCCTGTACGACAGCGAGTCCTGGACAACTTACGCCAGTTAGAAGAAGAGGTTAAACACCTTCCACCTCCGCTGATTCAGACGTTTCTTGCACATTAAGTGACAAGACTGGGTAACTAACACAGAGATCCTCCAACGCGCCGGCATCCCCAGCCTGTTCTCGTTGCTCTGCCAAAGACGTCTCAGATGGCTGGGGCACGTACGCCGCATGGTTACCGGCCGCATCCCAAAAGTCATCCTGTACGGAGATCTGTGTGGGGGGTCCCGCCCAACTGGAAGACCTCAGCTCCGCTTTATTTAATTTAAGGGTGTCTGCAAACGGGATATGAAGCTGGCCGACATCGACCCCAACACCTGGGAGACCGCGATTAACAATCATCAGCTTTGGAGAGCCACAGTCAGAGACGGCGTTACGATTGCAGAAGCCGCGAGGGGAGATCAGTAGGCAGAAAAGACAGCCAGGGGAAAAGCAAGGACAGCCCCCGTCTCCGTGTCATCCAGTTTCATCTGCGCCAAGTGCCTGAGAGACTGCCGCTCCAGAGTGGGACTACACAGTCACCAGACGCGATGTAACTTCATCGCCTAGAATTTTTTTTCTTTTTTTTTTTTTTAAAGCAAAAAACAAAAAAACAAAAACGCTACTCCTTCATCTCCCGCGACGGACGCATGCCGAACCGAACCGTAAGTTCTATGTTAACAGTTTCTTCTAACTTGAAGAACTTTCTACCGGCTTCTGGCTTTTCAGTTAATTTGAACTTCAAAAATTTAAATGCAATATCAATTGTTATCTTTTGTCTTCTTAACCTCTGTTCTTTTATTGTTCTCTCTTCTTACTAATGGTTTTTTTCTTTTCTTTTACACTCAGTAACACTATGCGTCTTAGTGGTTTTATTGCCTTGCTTGGGGTGAAATGATTTAAAATGTATGAATAGATTAAAAAAGGTTTTTATTATGAAACTGGCAAAGCAATTTACTAAACGTAAGTTAGATGCAGCACAAGGCCAAAATTATGGGACACCCAGTGAGTTTCAAACTAGCTAGTCAGTTGTAAGACAAGCCTTCTCACCACTGCACCACATCAACATGACCAAACAGATATAGATAAATAAGCCAATATAAATAAACAGATAGATAGATAGATAGATAGATAGATAGATAGATAGATAGATAGATAAACGATAACAGAATACGATATATAGATAGATAGATAGATAGATAGATAGATATTGATTGTTCTGAATGAGATTTAAATGAATTTCCATAGATATATATGAAAGGACTTACATACGAATAGGTTAGATAGATAGATAGATAGATAGATAGATAGATAGATAGATAGATAGATAGATAGATTTGATTGTTCTGAATTAGATTTGAACGGATTAACGTAGATATATATGAACTTACATTCGAATAGGTATAGATAGATAGATATATACATAGATAGATAGATATTGATTGTTCTGAATTAGATTTAAATGAATTTCCATAGATATATATGAAAGGACATACATACGAATAGGTTAGTTAGATAGATAGATAGATAGATAGATAGATAGATAGATATTGATTGTTCTAAATTAGATTCAAACGAATTGCCATAGATATATATAAAAGGACTTACAGATAGATAGATAGATAGATAGATAGATAGATAGATAGATAGATAGATAGATAGAAAAAAACGACAAAGCGAGAGAAAGAGAGAAGAAAGAGAGAGAGAGTTATAGATATATATAGATCCTTCTAGAGAAACATATTCGTTATTATCTGAAAGCCAAACACGTTCAGGTAAAACCGACGCTGTTTTATCTCAGCATTCTAATCTGCCATTCCATTTGTCTTCGGAATGTCAAGTGACCTTGTAAGAATAAATAATAAATGCTGTCTGTCGTTGTAAGCATGAATAATAAATGTCGGCCGACATCGTAAATATGGCTTTTCTGGCAGATCTATCAAATCTTGCAAGAAAATCAGTTACATTGTTTTCAATTTTGTGTTCAGTCTTTCTGCACCATTTCGATTCGATACCAAATGGACGGGAATTGATAGAGATGGCTGGGGGTTGAGGATAATTGAAAGGTGATTTCTGGTTTTAACACGAAATGCACGATATTTGCAAATTTTAATATACAAGAAGTTTCAGGATCATATGCAAAATTAAGATTTTGACAATAAACTAGTTTTCTATCTATCTATCTATCTATCTATCTATCTATCTATCTATCTATCATTTTGTTTCAAATCTATCTTTTTCCTCTCTTCATATCTATCTATCTATCTATCATTTTGTTTCAAATCTATCTTTTTCCTCTCTTCATATCTATCTATCCATCTATCATTATCCATCTATCATTTTGTTTCAAATCTATCTTTTGTTTCAAATCTATATTTTTCCTCTCTTTCTATCTATCTATCTATCTATCTATCTATCTATCTATCTATCTATCTCATTTAGTTCTTATCTAAACTCATTCTCTTCATATTTATTTGATTGAATATCTCATTATGTCCTTTTAATCTATCTATCTATCTATCTATCTATCTATCTATCTATCTATCTATAATTCTGTTTCTATCTATATTTGTCCTCTCTTCATATCTATCTATCTCATTTAGTACATATCTAGACTCATTCTCTTCATATTTATTTGATTGAATATATCATTAAGTTTTGTTTATCCTCTATCTTTTTCCTCTATTCATATCTATCTATCTATCTATCTATCTATCTATCTATCTATCTATCTATCTATCCTTTTCCTCTCCTCATATCTATCTATCTATCTATCTGTAAAATATATATGAACAGAATGAGTTTAGATATTAACTAAATGAGATAGATAGATAGATAGATAGATAGATAGATAGATAGATAGATAGATAACAATGTACCATAATAAAAGTTAATCGACGGAAAAAAAAAGATTTATTTTGCGTAGATCTTATAATCATAATAAGGGATTAACTATAATATATAATAATAAAATAGAAGTATTATAGCAATATACTCTAAATGTTATGTGACGGATAGAAGATTTATTCTTCATGTAGATCATATTAGGCATAATAAGAGATTAACAACAATTTGTAATAATAAAATAGAAGAATTCTAACAATATACTGTAATAAAATTAATGTGACGGATAGAAGATTTATTCTTCTCGTAGATATTATTAGTGCTAATAATAAATTAACTAAAATAACTAATAAAATTGAACAATTATGAAATTATAAAACTAATAAAAAAGACGTTACTATAGAAAAATTTCTGTTTACCTCAGTTCTTTCGCCACAAAATGCCTATGGAGAACCCGATGAGGATGGAATACATTTGCAATGATCTGCCGGTCGCCCTCGTTAATAATTACTTCTTTCTTTGTCACAGAAGATCAAGGGTTTCTCAAATAGGACTTACAGGATCAAATCTATCGAACACGCAGCGTTTCTCTCCCTATCACGTTCGTCGACTTTCTATATATCTTAGATAGTAAGATAGTTAGATAGTAATCCTTTGTATTCCTCAATCATGTCACCTCTCACAACCATCCACGAATGTTCACTGCATTTTAGCTTCCGAAAGCGTACACCAACTCATTCATTGAAGACGAACGACCACACGGGACAGAAAGCTGCTGGTGGCGCCAGGGGTAGCAGTACCGCCTTAGCCACCAAAACTGTGTTACCTCCCCTGGTCAGCAGCTTATAAGGACAGGGTATCGGACGTGCTTTCACACGTTGTATGTAGAGAATACATGACGAGTTGACTGCGTGTACGTCTTCTCTGTACGACTTCTGTCGAACTCTGCCGAAGGGCAAAGTTTCGCCCGGAGAGGTAGACAGGCCCTGAACCAGTCTAGGCGGGTTAAACTCAGCCTTGTGCCACATATATTCCTCGCTTGGCTGTTAAATATTGTTGTATGTAGAGAATTGCATATAACATTTAGTTTACCCTTTCTTACATGTTGAGACGTGATGGATCTGAAGCTTTGCCAAAGTACATATTAATTGTAATAAAACCTTAATAAAGAAAAATAAACCAAGTTAAAGACAATTTATTTTTCTAGCCAAATTAATTATGCTCTTAATCTTTAGGTTTTTTTTTTTTCTTTGAATTTCTACAGCAGCAAAGCGCCGCTAACCCACACAAAAAAAAAAAAAAAATTCCAGTGGATCTAGGAGTTTTGAGATAGGCCCCCAGTTACGAATGAGTCATGCGCGATGATTTGGCCTTAACGAAATAGCACCCAATACTATGCAGCTATCAACAAGATCATTGTCTTCTCAATGATTCTATAATATCGACTGCGGCCGACCTACAATTATGTCGATGTATTATTATAGGTACCTTCACCGATTGGTTAAAAATCTTTGCCAATAACTAAGTCTTATCGATAAATACTTTCCGTTATCATTAAAAAAGTCAAATAATTTTTTATGCAAAAATTATTTCTTTAATCTTTTTTAGAACCTTTGAAATTTTGGTTATTGTTGTGTATGATACACCTAATTTACATAAGCGGACTACCGACCATATAAATATGGGTTGGTACCGGAAGACGGGGAAGATAGTAGAGATTAAGAAATTGAATCCAGAGACTCTGCCCGACTGCGATTTAGTCAACCCATTATGCAGGAACAGTCTTCCCAAGAATATACCAAACTAACTGTAAATATTGTGTACCTATTCTTTTGTTTCAATACATTTTGTTAACGTACATTTTGTGTTGTATTATTCCATGCTTATTTAAGCTTCAACAGTTATAGATCTAGTTTCTCTGATGTCAACGAGTGACTATAAATTCGCACATTTGAGCGTCATTTTGCAGTAAAAACAATTTGAATTGGAAATTCTTGCAAAAATCTGATGTATTATTTTTTTAATGAAACTTTCAGGACTTATTCACAAATGAATGAATTTATTTTAGAAACATCTCCTTGTTCTATAATATCTTGGAAAAATATTTTTTTTTTACATTTGTTAATCCACACTTATTTAATTTTATGAGATTTTGAGAAAATAATTTTTGTATCACTTAATACTTATATTAATTATAAGAACTAGTCCTAGAAGAATTTAAATCATCGGATCTTTTTGGTCAAATAGAAGACTAAGTAAAACTATAAAGCCAAAATACCTAATATTCAATAAACTATTATAATGTTTCTATTTTAATTTTGAGATTACTGCATAGTTCAAAAAAATTAATTCAAAACGCATTTACGTTGTATTCGTCATGTAACTTTGGAAGTATCTCCCCTTATATAAATCTCGCAGGCATCAGGCTCTAGATAAATGTGTCAAGCCCTCATAAAAACAATCACTTCCGTGTTAAAAATGAATTTCTGCGATATTTTAAGTTAAAATAATATTAGTTTTAATTCAGATTAATTAAAATTTACATCAACTTATCTTCCTAAAATAAAGTTTCAGACAAGTATATTTTATTTTTCAAAGAATTTTTAATAAAGGGAATTATGTTGTGTTTGACAGATTTGTCTATATTGCCGATTTTAGCGATTTCAAAAAGAATAATGCTAATCAGTTTAAATTCAGTTTCAAATACAGGAAAGTATTTTTGCTTATTAGAAATATTAAATTTAGCTTGGAATTCAAACTAAAATAAAAGCTTCCAGGAAGAGTTTTCAGCTTTAAAATTCGTTTTAAGCCTTAGGCATCACTTTTTTTGGAGATTCGTATTATTATTATTATTATTATTATTATTACAAGGAATTTGGAAACAGGTTGTTTCACTTTCCTGGTGCCTTTTTACTATTTTCTCGTCCAGGGTAAGACGTTAAACTACACCCGCGTCCTAGGTAAGACGATAAACTGCATCCAGCAGCAAGGTTTCTGATAAGGAGGGTTCGAGGTGCATGGAACGACCCCATAATTGTTGGTGTTTCCAGATCCACCCTGACCCTCGGTGGTACCACCTGTTAGGGTCCCAGCTATGGGCAAATAGTTAACTATTACCTGCAATACTTTTTTGAAAAAAAAAAATTATGACTAGCAATACAGTTTTAAGGAAATATATTACCAGAAACAGATTTTTGACAAAACAAAATATTACCAGCAATAATAAATGTTTTCGGCATTAAATAACTAATTGAGGTTTATATGCCGTAAAACAAAATAAACCAAAGCAATCTAAACCAAAGAATACATATTCTATTCATACGAATCTATCATAAAAATTCTTGTCGGCATTAAATAACCCATTGAGGTTGATATGCCGTAAAACAAAATAAACCAAACCAATCTAAACCAAAGAATACATATTCTATTCATACGAATCTATCCTAAAAATGTTGTCGGCATTAAATAACCCATTGAGGTTGATATGCCGTAAAACAAAATAAACCAAACCAATCTAAACCAAAGAATACATATTCTATTCATACGAATCTTTCCGGAAATATGTTGTTGTCATTAAATAACCAATTGAGGTTGATATGCCGTAAAACAAAATAAACCAAACCAATCTAAACCAAAGAATACATATTCTATTTATACGAATCTTTCCGGAAAAATTTTGTCGTCATTAAATAATCAATTGAGGTTGATATGCCGTAAAAAAAAATAAACCAAACCAAACATTTTTACTATTTTCACTTTTCTCTTCGGAAATCCCCATTGAAATTCGAATCAGTCAAAGGTGACAGTTTGTTTCTTTATTTTATTTTTTGTTAAAAAGCCGTTGGCAATTTTGCTAGTGACATTTCGACGAGATATACGATTGAAATCTCAGCCTTGTTATCTACAGATATGGCGGTTTTCACTAAAGGCAAACAGACGCTTCACTACTATCATTAGGCTTACTCTTCGTTTTATATTAAGTTCATCGCGAGGGCGGGAAGCGGTATTGCTTTGTCATGGCTGTCATTAAACAATATCCGTCTCACTGTCGCTTGACGCCATTCATGTTTTGTCTGCAATTGCGGCGGGGAAGTGAGATACATGTTACCCTCTTTTGTTATTTCTTTTTCGTCTTTTCCTACTGTTTTTATTCATTTTCTTTTCTTTCTTTTTGTCTATCTCTCTACGTATCTTCCGTTCTTTCTCTTTTGAGCCTTTCTCTCTTTCTCTCTTTCCCTTTCTTTCTTTTTTCTAATTGCGCTTCTTTCTTTCTTTCTTTCTTTCTTTCTTTCTTTCTTTCTTCCTCCCTTTTCACATTGTTATTTCACTGATTGTCCTTCTTTTTCCTTTCTTTTATTTGTTTCCATTTTTGTCTTTTCGTTTCTTCTCACCCCTTTCATCTATCTTTCTCATTCTCCCCCTCTCTCTCCCTCTTTCTTTACCTGTCTTTCTTTCTTTCTTTCTTTTTTTCCTTATGGTGTGTTTTGTTTTTTTTTCCTTTTTCTCTCTTTGTTTCACTTTGCCTTTCTGTCTTTTCTTTTGCTCTTCTCGCGCATGTTGCTTGATTGTTTCTTTCTATCGTTCTTTATTTCGAGCAGTTACTTCCTGTTCCTCTCTTTCCATTCGTTTCTTTCTACCTTTCTTTCGCTTTCTTCTGCATTCCTTTGCTTTTTTCATTACTTCTTTTCTTCTCTTTCTTTTCTATTCCAATTTTCTTTCTTTTATTACTTCACTTACCCTCTTCTTTTCTTCTTTTATTCTATTCTTTTCTTTCTTTTTTTATAAATCTTTCTCCGCCTTTTCTTTCCAGTTTTCTCTTCTGCTTGTCTCTCTTTTCATTCTCTTTTCCCACTCTCTCTAACTCCACCATATGTACCTCTTCCTGTCTTCTTCTTTTCCTTCCTTTCTCGAACAATCTTTCTGATTTGCTCTCACCTTTCACCCAATTTTCCTCTTCCTTTTTTGTCTTTCTCATTCTATCCCTCTCTTTCTCTGCCTCTTTCTCTTTTTTCTATCTTTCTTTACACCTTTCTTCCATTCTTGCTCCCTTTCTTCATCTCCATTTTATCCTAGCATTGATTTATCTTCCTTTCATTTCGTCCTTTTGTTTTCATTATCTTTCTATCTATCTATCTATCTATCTATCTATCTATTAGCTATTTCAGCCTGTTCATTATCAATCCCAGTCTATTCGTTATCTATCTATCTATGTAGCTAGCTATCTAAGTCTATTCATTATCTAGATAGATAGATAGCTAGTTAGATAAGTCTATTCATTATCTGTCAGTCTGTTCATTATCTATCTATCGATCTATCTTTGTCTTTCATTAACTATTTCAGCCTGTTCATTATCTATCTCAGTCTATTCGTTATCTATCTATGTAGCTATGTAGCTAAGTCTATTCATTATCTATCTATCTATCTATCTATCTATCTATCTATCTATCTATCTCACTCTGTTTAAAAATCTCTCTCTCTCTCTCTCTCTCTCTCTCTCTCTCTCTATATATATATATATATATATATATATATATATATATATATATACATACACATCTCCATTTTATCCAAGCTTTGCTCTTTCTTTTCCTTTCCTTTCTACGTTTTGTTTTCATTATCTATCTATCTATCTATCTATTGTCTGTTCATTATTTATCTGTCTATCTGTCCACCTCAGTGTATTTAGTATCTATCTAAGTCTATTCATTATCTGTCAGTCTGTTCATTATCTATCTATCTATCTATCTATCTATCTATCTATCTGTCTATCTCTTCATATCTCTCTTTGTATGTCTCTATCGATATCTGTTCATATCTTTGTCTCTATCT